GCATTTACATACATACCACCCCATTCCTATGTAGTTACATATCTAAGACTTAAACTTTACTTTTTACATTTATACAACACAGATCTTTCTTGGGTGATAAAAAATGCCATTATTTTAACTCTTAAGAAGTGAAACACGTCTTTCCATGCAGATGTAAGGTGGCAGGCATTTGAAAATTGAAGTTTAGGATTTAGATATATGTAAATATATAGGAATTAAGTGGGATGTATGTAAATCTTTCTACACAGTTTTGTGCCACAACAGCTCTGCACAATGTTTTAAACCAATCAGACATATAAACTAGTCATTAACAGCAGATTACCAAGCATAACTCAACATAGAACTAACTCATCATCATAGACAACACATAAGCTGCGTTTGTAGCCCACAGTAAGCAAACATCAAAACCAATCCATAAGTGTCTTTGCCAATAAATTTAAATATCAGATAAAAAATTTACATCTTTTTCTAAAGTGGCATTAACATACATGTCACTCAATTCATATGAATTTACATATCTAACACACAAAATTTGCTTTTTACATTTATACAACTAAATCTTTCACTATGAGAACTTACATAGCTCAGTAAGTGTTGAGTTAATTTTATATGAATGAAACAGTATGATGCTTATGAGAAATTGATCATCATGCTCAGCAAGGGAAAAATCAGCAAGTCAGTGCTATGAGCTTCTTCAGACATCAGGAGATAGTTTTTATATGAAAAATCTTTTACGCAATCAGTTACCAAATATCTCCCCGAGAAATTAATGAAGTACACTAATATTTCCCAGGTAAATCATTCAAGAAATCAGTTACCATTTATCTTTAAAATAAAGAATTCCTATCACCCACTAATATCCACGAGATAAAAATTCTTCGACAGCAATAATTTGCTTAAGTAAGAATGCATATGAATATCACCGACGTCATTGTAAGTATTTGTATATACTACTGAGTGGTAGTGAAGTTGATTTAACAACTCATACTTAACTTCAAATAATTCTGCAGATTAAACATTTCTGGAATGATGCTGGTCACGCTTTCGATTTTGATATGAGAAAATGGTCGGTACATATGGTCAGGGGCATACCAGTACAAAGCAACAGTAATGACTGCAGAATATTAGTATGTAAATATATGGAAGTACTCATGCAAAAGAATAAAGCTGATTGGAAAAAATACTTGGACTGGCAGAAGTCTATGCCAATATTTAGAGCTGAAATGGGATATGAGATATGCAAATTTGCTATATCAAGAACATGATCACAGTTTGATGTCTCTTACCATTTAACTATTTAGATACCCAAAGAAATCATGTATACTAATTTCTTGATTTGTGTAGGTATAGCAACAGAGTTTAAAGGATGCATGCTGCGGGAGTTCAAATTTATTGTGGGGGGAGCAGCTAGGCTGATTATACACAATGATAGATTGTTTTATAAATTTTGTAATATACGATGTAATATACAATGTAAAATAGATTGTAAAGGCATAAAACTATGTTTTAATTTATCTGTGACAATGTACCACATGACTTCACTGTTGAAACATTTATATGATTCCACATCGAAGCTGCTTTCTGGCAGAGCCTCCACTGTTGAAATTTTATGCATAATCCTTTTCCTATAACTATTGCTTAATTAACAATGATATATGTATATAAAACTGGTCATTCTGCTCTTTGCCCCGTTTTATTTGATGTGTTTGTGAAGGCAAACAAGGAGCTCTTTTATGCATATTCTTGATAAGTCGTATGTTGTCATTTATCTGATTCCACATTGAAGCTGCTTTCTGGCAGAGCCTCCACTGTTGAAATTTTATGCATAATCTTTTCCCTATAATTATTGTTAAATTAACAATGACATCTATAGCATATGTTTCCTCTTTATTAACAAAAAATCAGCACGAATACAGCTCCCTGCCACATATTGATCAGGTATTCGAATTTCGTGGGAGCATCAATACGACAAACAAGGAGGCCCTTTGCAAAAACTTGTGGGAGCAGCAGTTTTTGTTTTATGCTTAGCTTTTAACAAGAAAGCACTAGAGGAAGAATTACAAGGGAACTATCTTAATTTTGAATTTTTTAACCCGCTCCAGAGCTTCTTGTTTCACATTTAAATCTGGAATGTATAAATCTGCTATGAGAAACGTATCACCACCCCATTCCTATGTACAGTTAAGGCATTTACATACATACCACCCCATTCCTATGTAGTTACATATCTAAGACTTAAACTTTACTTTTTACATTTATACAACCCCGATTTTTATTGGGTGATAAAAAATGTCATTATTTTAACTCTTAAGAAGTGAAACATGTCTTTCCATGCAGATGTAAGGTGGCAGGCATTTGAAAATTGAAGTTTAGGATTTAGATATATGTAAATATATTGGAAACATTTTTTTGTTTTCCTGTAAGCAAACATCAAAATAGAACTAACTCATCATCATAGACAACACATAAGCTGCGTTTGTGGCCCACAGTAAGCAAACATCAATTGTGGTTAACACCAACAATAGGAGCACAACATAGGTTATATTTATTTAACATATAGCTCGTGTCAAATATAATCACATCTCCAAAGCAGTCATAATCAAGCCTGAATGTCCCGTCGCTCCAAAAAAAATTCATTAGTCTTTCGTTCACATCAGTTTCAAAATCACATTTAAACATGTTATCCTCGGCACGTCTTTCTGCAAACAACTGCAATAAAGCATTCGAATCACCATTTTCAATTCTACATCTCCTCTCCCTCTGAATGAAATTGAAAGCATCTGTCTTTGTGCATTCCAGGTTCTCTACACCACCAACTTCTTGGGCTAGGAAGTTAAACGCGTCTTTTGGTCTAATCCCAGATTGTGTCATGGATCTAAGCACATC